AATGAATAGGATCAGAGTTTCATTCATTAGAATGAAATTCCGATCCGAATAAAGTGCCGAATTGCGTTCTAAAAGAAACGAACATACTGTTGTCATTCAGTTAGAATGCAATTCGGCAGTTTTGTGGAAAGTGACCGGAAGCATTGTGGGAACACAGAGGGAAGGTAAGGATCATTGGAAAATTGCTCTGACCAGCGGAAATGAAGCACACTTTGCTCCTCCGCTGGTCAGAGCTGGTCAAGCTGAGGAATCCTCCATAAGGCAAAGAGTCCCTACTTTGTCTTATGATTTTAAAGAAAACTAAAGAAGACAGGAAGAAAAGAAGAACAGATCCTGAGAGAGGGGTAGAAGAGGAAGAGATTGAGGAAAGGTAAGTTCGGCATGACAGTGCCGCTTTAACAATAATCACTGTTATATGACTAAGTATTGCAATTATGTTAATTATGAAAAGTAAGATTTTTTTTTATTGATTAAGTTACTGTATGTGAACGTAATAACTATATGAAGGCAAACCTAAATAATTTACAGTCTATATCATATATATGCTAAACTGAAACAAATATGTAATTGCTAAACTAGAAACATTCTCCATATCAGCTATTTTTCCATCTTGGCTCTAAGACTTAGACGTTGTCTGGAAAAAAACGTTAATTTCTTCTTGTTCACTAGAAGTTCCACTAAAAGCAGTTTTTTTCCCCTAGAGCTGTCTGCTTAGCAGCTAGCTGGTTTGTTTATTTACTTCCCAGTGTGTATTAGTTCTCTCAGTTAGTTTGTCAGCCACAAACATCATCCCACAAACATCAGCCAGCTCACTTTAAACACACACACAGGAATAAGGTTGGGTATGAGATTAAAAAAAGGATTGCTAAATTGGTATCCAAAAACACCACACCTGAGAAATGAACTGCAACAATAGATGTCAAGTAAGCCTGGACCTTATTGGACATGTCCAATGGCCATCTGGACATGTCTAGCTGTTTGAGACAAAGGGATAGAGGACACCTCTCTACTTCACCTCTAAGGTTTCATAGAGACTTGTGTACACACACATCTTACTAACGTTCTAATTCCAACTCCCTCCATACCCTCTTCAATCTGGTTTCTGCTCTTTTCACTTTACTGAAACAGCCCTTACTAAAGAAATCAATTATTTGCACACAGCTAATTCTCTATTAATTAATCTCAATCACTCTGCTGCTTTTGACCAATAGCACCTTCTCATAGGCGTGCGCAGCCTATTGCATTAGGGTGTGCACCCTAAAGCACAAACACACGCCGCGCGCGTGTGTGTGTGTGTGTGTGTGTGTGTGTGTATATATATATATATATACATATATATATATATATTCACAGACACACACACTCACAGACACACACTCACACTCACAGAAACACACACACACTCAGACACACACACTCACACACACTGACACACACATACTCACACACTCACAGACACACACACACACACTGACACACACACTCACAGACACATACTCACACACTCACAGACACACACTGACACACACTCACAGACTCACACACACATACTCACACTCACAGACACACACTGACACACACACTGACACATACTCACACACTCACAGACACATACTCACACACTCACAGACACATACTCACACACTCACAGACACACACTGACACACACTGACACACACACACTCACACACTGACACATACTCACACACTCACTGACACACACACTCACAGACACATACTCACACACTTACAGACACACACTGACACACACTCACAGACACATACTCACACACTCACACACACTGACACACACACACACACTCACTGACACACACACACACTGACACACTGACACATACTCACACACTCACAGACACACACAAATAATTATATTTTAATTTTTTTTTTTTAAATGTCCACCCAGCCTCCTACCTGGAGTGCTGGTGGACTTGTCCCTGGGGTCCAGTGGGGGCGGGCGCCTCTCTGCAGCTCAGCGCGCGGCGAGGGAGCTCTCTGCTCTCTGTTCTCTGCTTCCTCTCGCCGCGCGGGCTGTCTGCTCGAGCTGGGAGCCGGAATATGACGTCATATTCCGGCTCCCGGCATCAGCGCGCGGCGAGAGGAAGCAGAGAGCAGAGAGCAGAGAGCTCCCTCGCCGCGGCTGAGCTGCAGGGGGGGGGAATCATCACCTCTTGCCCTCCCATGACAGGGGCAAGAGGTGAAACAGGGGGCACTGAGTGCCTGCAGGAACAGCGTTCCTGCTCAAAAGAGTGCAGGAACGCTGTTCCTGCAGGACTCAAACCATAGGGGTGCGCACGGGGATTAGGGTGTGCCCAGGCACACCCGGCACACCCCGTGCGCACGCCTATGCACCTTCTTCTAACCCTCTGCAAACTCAGCCTTTGTGATTCTGTCCTTTCCTGATTCTCTTCTTCTCTCTCTCAATATCATTTTCTGATACAAGATGTTACTATTGCACTTGCTCATACATTCATTATATCATGACTTGATAATTGCAACTTGCTCCTCATTGGCCTTCCCCAAACCCATATAGACCTCTTCCAAAATATTATGAATAACAGTGGCGTACACATGACCCATGGGGCCCTGGTGCAAAAATTGATCTGTGGGCCCCGCCTTCCCCCCGCGCTTACTCGGCGCGGGTCGGGGCCGCAACACATGGCGGCGGGCACCTGGTCGCAGGGCTGCGACCCCGCGACCGCGGTATGCTGCACACACACCTAAAGGACCACTACAGACACCCAGATCACATCAGCTCAATGAAGTGGTCTGGGTGCCAGGTCCCACTAGTTTTAACCCTGCAGCTGAAAACATAGCTGTTTCAGAGAAACTGCTATGTTTCACTGAAGGTTAATCCAGCCTCTGGTGGCTGTCTCATTGACAGCCGCTAGAGGAGATTCCGCGATTCTCACTGTGAAAATCACAGTGAGAAGACACTGAATGTCCATAGGAAAGCATTAAGTAATGCTTTCCTATGGGCGGTTTAAAAGCACGCGCGCGCCTCTTGCCGCGCATGTGCATTCGGAGCTGAGAGGCGGAAGGAAGTCCGGCGCTGGAGAAAGGTAAATGCTGAAGACACACACTCTCACAAACAGACGCATACACACTAGCTAACAGACACACACATTTACTGACAGAGACACACTCAGCGACAGATATACATACACACTCACTTACAAAACATACACTTTCACTGACAAACACACACTCACTAACAGACATCAGACACACTCAGTAACAGACACACTAACACTTACACACACACTCTAACATACACACTCTAACACACACACTAACACTCACACACACACTCTAACACTCACACACACACACACACTAACACACACACACTAAAACACACACACTAACACATGGTTTTTTTTTAAATTTAATCCCCCCAGCCTCCTTACCTTTTGGAGTGCTGGGGGGATTCCCTGGGGTCCAGTGGTGCTGCTGCTGGGCTCCTGGGCTGGCGGGCAGGCTGTCTGGGTGGCCGGCGCGTGAGGGAGCACTCTCCCCTGTGTGCTTCCTCTTCAGCTCCCTCGCGCGCCGCATAGGGATGCCGGAGCCGGAAGATGGCGTCATCTTCCGGCTCCGGTATCAGTGTGGTGCGCGAGGGAGCGGAAGAGGAAGCACTCAGGGTAGAGTGCTCCCTCGCTCGCTGGCCACCCAGACAGCCCGCCAGCCTGCCGGGGTCAGCAGGGCCAGCCTCGGGGGGCCCTGAGGTGGCTGGCTCCTGGGCCCCCCAGGAGAAGAGGCTGGCCCTGTGGGTACATACCGGGTCGCAGGGGTGGCCGGGCCCCCTGGGGGGCTGGGCCCGGTCGCAGCCGTGACCCCTGCGACCCTGGTATGTACGCCACTGATGAATAAGCTTCCTTATCTACATTAACCACCACTTCTCCCACACCCCACCCCATGTTTTAATTGACTTCCCTTACCTTTCACAATCTAGTTCAAACTACTGACATTAATATACAGAGCCCTAAGCAACTGTATTCCCAATTATATTTTTCTCTCTAATACTGAAATATACCCCTTCTCAATCCCTTTGCTACACCAATGACCTTTTCTTGTCCTCTGTTCAAACTGCCTCTGCTAATTCTTGTCTACAGTACTTCTCAAGTGCTGCAACTTTTCTGTGGTATGTTCTATCCTGTCCTCTTACACTCTTCCCTACTTCCACTCCTATAAGAAATCAC